ATCGACTATTAGAATGTGATAATCGATTATCAACCCATTTTGAACATCTGATAATCGATTATCAGAAGTGATAATCGATTATCTCCCTACCCTGCTGAAGAGAATGAAACCAGTAGCTATCAATTCATTTCCCTATCATGCGTTAATCAATTATTACTCAGAAAACATGATTTTTGAATCATGAAATCCTATTTTTGATACCAATTAACTATGAACAATATAAATATGATTTTGTGCAATAAAAATGATGTTTTTGGCATATAAAACATTATATGATGCATGACGGTAAGTTCGGGTGTTAACACTCGAGACTAGGTCACTAATTGTTATTAAACGTTATGTTGAATGATCATTATGATGAATAATTATTATGGATAATTATGAATGTTAAACCTACTACTTAGAATTATTATTGATGATTAAATCATGATTAAAAATGAATATAATGGTGATCATAAAAACGGTGCATATTGTTAAGAATATATAGAAGAACTCTGAGATATAGCACTTGTATATTGATGATGATTATTAAGGATATCTAGAAGAACTCTAAGAGATACCTCCTTGACCAATTCATAATTCGGGGTTAAAACGTACGTACAGGATCCAGAACGGATATCACCCACCCGACAAATCACTGTTCGGTTTGGTACGTAATCCACATGACTCATAGGGTGGATTATCGATTCTTGTGTTCCGCCTTAGACTATTTGTAGTTTAAGAGCCTGGTTAGAAATATTTCCTTAGACTAGGAATAGCTAAGAGCTTGTTATAAAATGATTTGGTCTTAGATTAAGAATAATTTAAGAGCATAGTTGAGATATTGATTATCAAAATGACTTGGAATAAAATATTGAGAATATCATGAATTCTTGAATATATTTGTGTGCATGATATCAAATGGTTAATTATGAAATGAGTTTCAATTTATGTGGATGTTCGACGCTTTAGATATGCTTACTCAACTTCACCACTGAGCGTGTAGTGTGTTTTATTTGCTACACGCAGGTAGACAGAATGAATGATTAGCATATTCCTAGAAGCGGAAGAGGCAAGACAGTCATGGTGGATTTATTGATAAAATAAATGATTATGTTGTTACGAGACATGTTTAAAAGCCGCTTCCGCATTATTATTAAACACTCTGTGTTTTCTACAATCATGTATGGAATTTTATTTACGATGAATAAAGTTATTTGAAATGTTTTAAGTTATATGATTACCAAGTTAATACTTTAGTCCGAAAGGGGCTGCATACGTGGACGGATTATGGTGTTACAAGTTTACTCATATTCTACTCTTTAAAAGAGTTTTTGTTCTTGAGTGGTTAAGTGTTGTGAACACTTTAAGGGAGGTTTGTTTCCTTGGTTGTACGAAGGAAGGGTATATTTCTTCGGGTTGAAGCATTGGAGTGCGGTATCTCTGAGCAAGTGTATTGAGGCTCGTGGGACTCGAGTTCTCATGTTGTAACGGTTTTTTAAGCACCCGTAAGCTTAACGGAAGTAGTGTAGCTTGAGGGAGTCTCTTGGGAGGCTGTACTAGCCACACGTTGTGGTGAACCAGGGTAAAATCAGTGTGTTCTTTCCTTACGCTTTTTATTCCGCTCTTTACTTTATCCCTGTGATTTTTATTTCGTGAAAATTTATAAACATTCTCGTGCCTCACTAAACATTCTCGTGTCTCACTAATATCCCTGTGAAGGGCACTTATTCTAACAATTGTCTGCTCTAGTGTTTCGTCATCCATGATCTCTGGCATAGGTGTGCTGAGTACATGCACGACCTTCAATGTTGTGACAAGGAAGTGCATCTTCTTCTGCCATCGGCGAAAGTCTTGGCCTTCAAACTTTTCCAACTTCGAAAACTTGGTGCTAAAATCTCTTACGGAATCGCCACACGTGATCTTTCAGTTCTTCAACTATAACTTCAGGAATAACTTTGATCTTTGTAGGAATTTTCGGAGGAAGAACACTGTGGAACAGTGTTGATGAAGAACTCGATAGTATAACAAATCACGTATAAATGCTTTCAGATCAAAGTTATTTTGGGATATATACAAAATACTTCAATCGGATAAGACGTTAATAAAAAACAAACACAAGAAATTGGATCCCTCAACCCATACCATGAGACTCTATTTATAGAGTCGAAAGTTCATGACCGGACATTAACGTTCGCGTAAACGCGTATGTCGCGCGGAGAGAAAGAAACACGCGAGAAGAGAGCATTTCAACGAAAGGTCTCCTGTGGTTTTAGAGTCAAATTCGACGTTTATCTACTCGTTTGAGTCTTTTATTGGTTTGGACTCTGATCACGAAAATCTTAAGGATTTTCATAAAGGAAAAACGTCCAAAATAAAAAATTACCCTGGCTAGGGGCTCTATCCCTTGGACCCTGCCAGGGGCTACCGCCCCTTGGACTCAACTACACAGGGGCTGCCGCCCCAGATCCCGGTTGTAAATTTGTAATATCATTGAACGAACGTGCACTCCACGCCTCCTAGCTCGTTTGACAATGTCTATTTAAATTCTTGTCCGATCTAAGTAAATCCAATCACACAAAATAGCCGATGACACTAAAATCACCAACAACCCGTATCATCAGCATCTTCCTCTGCTATCTGTTGCCTCAGCCTGAATCTCTACCTGTTTCTCAAACACAACTGTCGATCTCTCTGCCCAGAATTGAGAAGGAAAATGTAGTCTATTCCACTAGCCTCTGCATGGTTCGTGGGTGAAGAACCTACAGCAGTAGTGGTGGTTACAGTGGCTTAGGGTGGCAAGGGATATTCAGCTAGGCTAGCTCTTGGGGGAGGAAGAAGAAGAAACAAGAAAAAAGAAAAGAAAAAGGACAAAAAAAAGAAAAGAAAAGGGAAAGGAAGAAACAAAATCAAAATGTTGTGTTGTGAGTATTTGGAATCTTTTAGATGTTTGTTGGGCACTCGATACGTAATGGAAGCAAAATCATAATGGAAATTAAATTATTATATCAAAAAATGCAAATTCTACGTAATTTAATATGCATACGATATCTTTGAGAGTATTTGGAATCTTCTAGATGTTCGTTGGACATTCGATACATATTTTTTTATATAAAATTAAACCGAACAGAACACTAACCTTCCGTTCGATTTTGGTTTTGTGTAAAAATAAAACAAAAAAATCAAACTCGACCCTACATATTTTGCTTCATCGAGTAAGTATTTTTATAATTATTTAATGCTTATATTACTTTTATAAACCAAAAAAACCAAAATAAAAACTATATAAAACCAACCAAATAACTAACGATCTACATATTTTTTATGCAAAACCAAATCATCAACTTATTTTTCGTTTATCTTTGATTTTGAATAAAAATCGAATCACCAAAACTAAACTCGGCCTGGTTGGGGGCATCTTGTCAACTCATTACAATTAGAGCAATGCTAGGGGTACACCAAAAGTGTATCCCATTTGTCCCCCACCCCCTTATCCACCATTCATTTTTATTTACTTTTTATTTATTTTATTTCTTTAAAATTCTTATCTATTTTTGTGGTATTGGAGGGGTGAAAAACAAACAAAAAATTGCTGCTGGGTACCCCTAATTTTGGGATAAAGACTAGCAGGTCCCATTGTTTTTCAAAATATACTCCGAGGTACCTTAAGATATTCGAAAACTGACTACGGGGTGACAATCCGTCATTCTCTCCGTTAACATTTCTTCTCCGTTATCCTCCTCCTCCTCCTTTTCTCAAAAAATTGCTGCCAGGTATCCCTTATTTTTGGATAAAGACTGGCAGGTCCCATTTTTTAAAAAAATTTACTCATGGGAATTTAAAATATGATGTTTGTGACTGAAGAGGGAACTTACGTATCATTTATAAAATTAAAATTATTTATTCACTTGGTTATAAATTATACGTCGTAATTCATAATATATAATTTAAATTGTGATAAAAATAACAAAGTATAATAGAAATGTTGACATATTAAATTTAACACTATTTTTATTGTTTCATCTTATTCTTTTCTCAAGTCCTCTTGTTTTCTCGATTTACCATGACACCATTACCAATGACGACTATCAATGACTAATGCGGAGTACTATTTTTCTAAATAATAATGATTGTTACTCCATATTTCTTAAAAATAGAGTAATAAAATTACTACTTTGCAATTAACTTTTAATAATAATTAAGGAAATAATAGGAAATACATAATATTATCAATTTTGACCAAAAAAACTAAAGTAGACAAATACTCTAGAACAGAGGAGTAATTAATATGAAGCAATAATAATAACTAGTGGTATTTTTTAAAAAAGTACAGAAGTAAAATTATTAATTAATTGCTTAAAATAAATAATAGTATTAATAATAAGTGTTATTTTATAATAAGTGCTATTTTTCTAAATAACAATTAGTGTTTTTATAGAAAAGAGTGGTAAAACTAACAATTAATTTTTAATAATAATAAATCTAAAAATTAATAATAATAATAGAATAAGAAAATAATAATTATGAAGTAATTAATTATAATAATTATTAACAAATAATAATAATTATAATAGAAGAATAAAAAAACAAAAGAAAAGGTAAAAGAAGAAAAAAAATGGGGGTGGGGGAGAAATGGAGGTCACTGGAACTCTGGAAGGCAAGAGAAAGAAGAAGAAAAGAAGAAAAGAGGAAGAAGAAAAGAATGGGACCTGCCAGTCTTTATCCGAAAATAAGGGGTACCTGGCAGCAATTTTTTGAGAAGAGGAGGAGGAGGAGGATAACGGAGAAGAAATGTTAACGGAGAGAATGACGGATTGTCACCCCGAAGTTAGTTTTCGAATATCTTAAGGTACCTCGGAGTATATTTTGAAAAACAATGGGACCTGCTAGTTTTTATCCCAAAATTAGGGGTACCCAGCAGCAATTTTTTGGAAAAACAAATGGGGTAATCTAACTGCCGCCCGCCGTCCCGACGAGATGAGCTGTTCCACACTGTACAAGTGCCATTGGCTTCCGCCTCGGCCCCCCACCCCAACTCTTCCCTCTCTACGTACTACGCAGTACCTGTCTGTGTCTATCTATTTTTGGACATGGTTTTCTTCTTCAACTTCGCTTCCTCTCTTCTGGTTCACCCCCCTTAACCCCATTTCCCCTCCATACACAAACAAGTTCTCTCCAAATCAAGCGGTTGAAATTCTCCCTTTCCTCTCCTTAGCTCCCAACCAAACTATGCCTGCTTGGTGGGGAAGGAAGTCCTCTAAGAACAGCCCCAAAACCCAACAGCCCGATAAGAGAACGGCCGCCACAGCCGCCGCGGGCGAGAAGGCGCCGCAGCCACCCAATATTAGCTCCGATGAGGCGGTCCCTGGAGCCGTAGTACTAGCGAGGAAATCGCCTAGAAGTAGCAGAGAGTTCTCTAGCGGTAGAGGGTCGTCTTCTGGATCTTCCGGTTTTGAATCGGCTTCCTCTTTGGACCGAGCGCTTCCGCTGCCGAAGCCGACTTTCTCAAATGAACATGGAGTTGGATTGGGATCTGGGTCCGAGTCCGGATCCAGCGTTAGCTCTTCTGGTTCATGTGAGGATCAGCCATATTCCGCTTCTTTCAGGTTGATTACTCTATTTTGTGCTTGGTATTAATATGATTAAGCTATTTGTACAACAAAATTTGTAACCCATTTTGTACTCCAAAAACATGACATTTTGTGCTAGTTAAATGTTAGGGTGATGATTTACATTGGCTAAAAATGTCCGTGTAATTTTTTTTAATTGAACTAACATTTTCTGCTCGTGTGAACTGTTAAAATGTCTGTATATTTATTTGGTTGTAACTAATACTACCTCCCAATAAGAGTATTTGTTACTTTTTTCAGTCAATCATTTTTTTACTTTTGACTTATACAATAACAACAACAAAGTCTTATCCCACTATAATTAAATAAAATTTATATTATTTATTAATTAGATAAAATGATATTTTGAAAAATATTTTATTTAATAGATCTAATTAAACCATTTTTGTATCAATGTCTAATATCATTTTTTATGTAATTTGGGTCAAGTTTATCAAGTTTGACCGAAAAAAGTGACAAATACTCGGGACGGAAGGCAGTACTACTTAGTAAGTAGTGATTATTGTTTCCCTTGCTTGGGTGATGTGTTTGGATATCTAGTTTTAAACGGAATGGGTTGGAGTGGAGTGGGACTGGAATGTGTTAAAGTTACCATTCCATTGTTTAGATATTTTATGATGGATAGAACAACATGAAAGCCAGGGGTAGCCCATACCAGTTCATGGGCAACTGCCTGCGACTTTGTAAACTACTCCCACCTTCCCATAATAGTTATCCACTTTAACTTACAAGTAGTTAAAGGAAAGTGTCATTGTAGAGAGTAAACAGCTTGTGGTTGAAATTTATGCAAAGGAGATGGGAATTTTCTGAATAATTAGTTTTTTCCTTGAAACATTTTTTCGGGGATGGATGGAAATGGAAAGTGAGATCATTATTGTGGGATTAATTAACTCATGAGGCGAAATGATGAAATTTCCATAAATGTTGAAGTCTCATTTGATTGGTAGATAAACCTAAAGCATTCACTGTAATTGGCATGAAACTTTATCAAGTAATGGCTGTTTGGTTCTATTGGTAGACTGCATCTAGACTAAAATAGTGGGTAAACTTATAATTTCTGGCAGAGGAGCTGGAGACAATAAGTTCAGACCGCTATCTCGAAGCCCGGTTAGATCAAGAGCATCCACTACCACACCTTCACCGCGACATCTGCGATTTTCCAGTAGTAGTTTGGACTCCCCGACAGGAAAGTTGGATGATGGGAAGAGTGAATGTCATCCCTTGCCTCTTCCGCCTGGTTCTCCGACCAGCCCTTCCTCTTTGCCAAATCTAAGAACTCCCGTCTCCGAATGCTCAACTGGTAATTTGTCACAATGGAAGAAAGGCAGGCTCCTAGGTCGAGGCACATTTGGCCATGTCTATCTTGGATTCAGCAAGTGATTATTCTTTTCCTTTCATTTGGTTTCAATTTCGTCCTGCCAATCCTTCAATGTACTATATCAATTAACAGATAGCTGCATTATTATTATTTGCAGTGAGAATGGGCAAATGTGTGCCATTAAAGAAGTTAAAGTTGTTGCAGATGACCAGACATCCAAAGAATGCCTCAAGCAATTGAACCAGGTATGCATTATCTCTTACCTATCCTGATAAGAAGTGTGTGTGTGTGTCATGAAGAAGCCATGCTGGCATGGCTTCTTGCCTTTATGCTGTTCTGTCATTGTTGCTACATTTCTTACCAAATGTGTTTCTTACAAACTAAGCCTTTCTTACAGGAAATTATGTTGCTAAGGCAGTTTTCCCATGCAAACATTGTCCAATACTATGGAAGTGAATTGGTATGCCCCGTGATTACGATGTAATGTAGTTGATCACTGAAATTGTACGCTAGGATCTCTTTATATGGTATGTTTTGTCCGACTGTGATTAAAGAAACGTTCTCACAGACACTTTTTGGTAATTTTCCCTTAGGGTGAAGAAACACTATCAGTTTACTTGGAGTATGTTTCTGGAGGATCTATCCATAAATTGTTGCAAGAATATGGGCCATTCAAGGAGCCCGTTATTCAGAACTACGTGAGGCAAATTCTATCTGGCCTTGCATACCTGCACACAAGAAATACCGTGCATAGGTCAATATGGAGGACTTGTTAATGAAGTTTTGTTGTGTTATAACTAGTCTTCAAAATTGTAGCTTTTAAAGTGGCATTGCTTTTCCACAGAGATATCAAAGGAGCAAATATATTAGTCGATCCTAATGGTGAAATCAAACTTGCAGATTTTGGCATGGCTAAGCATGTAGGTATCAACTTAATTTATGTGTAGGATTTGTGGCTTTTGTGCATTATCCAACCCATTCATTTTGTGTAAGTGTTGCCATTCAAAGCATGCTACTCCAGCTACTGTAAGGCTGATTTGGCCTTTTAAATGACAGAGTTCATTGATATTTTTTCATTGACCTGAGATCCCATGCTGATACTTGTACAACATTTGTAATACCTTCCATCCCATTAAGGAGTCCTTATTTAATTTGTTCATTTTTCTGTCCTAAATAAGAGTCATACTTTATTAAATGTGACTAGGTTTACAAAACTTCTAAGAAATCTACCTTTTCAAAATTTAAAAGCTCTACATTCCTTAAATAGGATATTTTGGGAAGGATGGAATACTTTTTAGCATTTCAATTCATAAAGCATCATAATTTTTTGTCATTGGAGGTCACATATTGTTAGTAAGTTACTTTCTATTTGTGAAAGATTGCTCCTTTCCGATATTCAGTATCTTGTGCTCTCTTGATATGCCGAGGCTCTTGCCTTGGCAAATTTGGATCTATTTTTATTACTTACTCATTCCATCCCAATTTAAACTTTAATGTTTGACTTTACATAGTTAAAAAAGTGTTGAAATGTGAAAAGTATGATTGGAATTTCTTTAGAGGAGAAAGGAAGATTCTGACCCATTTATTTCATTCCTTAATTGGGAATGGGAGAAGTCCCGAATTTTATTTTGGGACAGCCTTCAAAAAAGTAAAGTTTTTTTCGGGACAGAGGCAGTATTTGTCTTTCCTTTTGAGGGTCGTCTCTTTTTTACAGTGGGGTGGGGGGGGGGGGGT